TCTTTGCACTCTAGTATCATGACTCTCTTATTTATGTCATTATTAAATGTGTATTGCACTCATCTTTTTGTCGTTTTGTGTATTTTTACCTTGTTCTATATTGTATTTTGATTTACCTGACTACCATGATAACTTAATTTGATCAATAAAGTTATCTATCTATCTATTAAGACTGTGGGTGGAAGCTGGAGGAGCTGGAAAACTGACACAAACAAGAACATGCAGACCCCACACAGAAACTGGGATTTGAACCAGCGAGGCGTCAGTTCTAACCAATTATCGGCCCTGAAATTAATTTCTCTTGGCCGTGTTTGAAGAGATAACAGACCTTGGTTTGTAATTCAGATTTTCTGGCTCAATTCTGACAAAAAACTAAAGTTCAGAAACATGTGGACTCCATGTTCATTTTTCTAGCTCGTGTGTAATCCATCCAAACGACCAGGTTTTAAAATCTGGCACTTTCAAGGGGAATCAATCACAGTCCAATCTGGTCACTTTGAATGTGTAATTTCCCTCAGTGTGGAAGGCAAACTTTCATGTGAGCACCACAGGTCAGTTTATAACTAAAAAATAAACAGTATGTCATTAGTCTGTGCAGTTTTAATTTACATTTTAATTGGATTGCACTGAGAGCGAATTAACGGCCAGCCTCCTGTAAGTAGAGTCTACAATCAAGCTGTTAACAAAGTCATTTTGTGTTGTGTGATGTGTTGCGTTAGGAGACAAATGGGATGAACCCTACGACAGACTGTCAGGAGGGACTGCATGGCTCGTATCATTCATGTTCATCAGATGATTATTATTTGTGTGTCTGGTGAAGCCTCCAGCTTTCCTAACATTTCTACATTCACCTCCACACCTCCGGTTTGTAGTCTTTCTCTTCTACAGCCTGACAGGATGCCGACAAAACATGAGCGAGCGAAGGCACAGGAATAAATAAAATACAAGATGACTAGATTAGCGAGTCTTTCTAGGAACTGGATTCTCACCAAGTCTCACTTCTCCCTGTTTTCATGTGTTGTGTTTTGAGGCTTGGCTGACTGGCAGGTCTGAGCTCTCGCACTTGTAAAGGTTACCGAGAGTTTTAAAACTGCCAAGTCTATTTCCAAAGTAGACGTCTGTCAAAAAGACTGGCTTCTATACACCTGTCAATAACCCACAGAGAAACCCACACTGAGACATTTACTCAAACACACACACGTCTGTTATTTCATCGGCGTGTCAGCTCTGTATTTTAAAGCAGGATGCCGATGTTCAGGTCATCACAAGCTGTAGATTTAATGATAGTAAGTTATCAGGTGCAGATGGTGAAGGAGCAGGGAATGAATGAATGTCTTTAGTGTGATCCTGCAAACTAACAAACAAACACTGATGAAAGCAATCCTTGGCAACGTGGGGTAAATTGAGACCTGCACCCAGAATTATGTTAGCAAACTTTTTATTCAAGTGAATTAAAACATTTCCTACAGAAAAAAATCCTGCATGCATACTACAGAATGGAAAACGTACATCTGCCAGGTTTCACCAGATTTCACCATAAACTGCAGTAAAGTGCAAAGTGTACAGTTTATGAATTATGACCCTACGACTTCTGAACTACTACAATTTGAGTTCTGTTTGTTTCCTTGACACTCAGGAACATCATACATTTATTTCTAACCTCATAAACACTTGAAAATCTTATAATGTGACACCAATGGCAGGAATATGTATTGCATCTCTGTATGAGTGATTCAGATTGCTCCACAGCGACCCTAGTGGTCAAAAACTTCACAGGGTCACTTTAAACGATGAAATGTATTTAATCTAAGCAGTTAGAATGACATTAAAGACGAACTGCAGAGTTTTCCAGTTACTTTGTTTACATTCATTTCTTTAAAATAACCCGAGTTACAAAGACTGAATCATAAACCTAAAAAAATCCTTTAAAGAAAAAAAAAAGAAAATCAAACATCCTCTGACACTTGAACCTGTGATTTCTCCACAGTTCACATTCTGGTCAGGTTATTTCTTTTCATCCCAACAGGAAATAAATGTTATTTAAAACCCACGTTGCTCTGTAGTGCGACTTATGAACAAAACCACCCCAGTTCATGTTTAACAGCATTAATTGGCCTTTAGCTTTTGTAACACAGCATGAGAAAATACTGAATAAATAATTTCCACATTATACAAACACAAAAACCAGGCGGAACTGCTGCAGTCTGACGAGGGTGATGACAACATCGACATGGAACTAATAAATACAGGCTTTTGTGGTGATGCGAACATTCGCTGAACTTGATTTCACTTGATCTTCACTAACTGTCGTAAATGAGGGATAATGTAAATAAAACCGAACAAAAAAAAAAAAAATCTTCATGTTGTAATGTCTTGGCCCGAATGAAATGGAATCAAGATTACAGTCAGATGACGGTTACGTTTGAGTTTGTGAAACACAAGAGGTCAATCGTGTTTTTTAGTTTGGGTTAAATCATCTGTAAGTTTTGATTCATATAGAATCTCTGGTTATTTGAATCTAACTGTGTCCCAACTCAGGGGCCGATTGCATCACAGTCGTAGGATCCTTCAAATGCGGCAGACGAATGTGTCCTTCCACTCCCGAGCAATGAAGGCTCCAATTGGTGGATCCCTCGGCCCCGTCCTATCCCACGATTCATTGCACTTTGGTGATGAACTATTTTTCAAAAAGATAATGCTGACGGCAAGCGACAAGACCAAAATGTCAGATTCTTACACATTAAAAATGTAAGAATCAGGCTCCAACTAAACAACTAATGGTGCAAGTGCTAAAAAAACAAAGGGGCATTTAAACTTATTGTGTCCAACTGTAGCTTTGTTGCTAGGTGACAGCGCTAGGGGTGGGACAAGTCGGTTATGAAAATTACGGAAATCCTCCGTAGACCAGACCATTTCATTTCGGTTCGACCTTTCGCAGACTACGCAGCACAGGCGACAGCGAAAAAGGTGGGACAAGGCGATAACGCAAATTACGGAAACCCTCCATAAGCAAAACCGTTTTCTTTCAGTCTGACGTTCGCGGTCTGCACAGCCCGGGAAGGCCGCCTCCTACATGGGCTGCGTACACCGCATCCTCGGAAGGAGATTGGCCCCTGAATTGGGACATTCTGCATCTTGTGGCACGTTGGGACTCGAATCTGTGAATAACTAACAGTTTTAGGTCACCATCTCTAAATGCATATTTATCAGGTTTCACAGTCCAAAAAATATATATTCATATATACATGTTATAAAGAAACGCATAACGAGGATGTGGTGATCCCAGATGTTTATCTGCAGAGCGGAGACGCCTGGGACCCACGCAGGAACCATCACCGGGGTCAGAGCAGGTGACACAGAGATGTTCTGAGGTTCATCACCGGCTGACAACAATCAGAGTTTGGAGCCGAAGAAAAGCGCTTCAAGCTGAATTTCACGACTCCGTCATCTGTGGCTTCAGAGCATAAGTTATGTTATATTAAACCAAAAGCTGAATCCACGACAACATTTAACTGCACGACAGACAAAGAGCGGCTGTTTGATCTCGTGATTGTAGCAGTGCGCCTCATGGTTTTTTGTCAGCCTGATACCGTAAACGTATTATTATATATACAAATAATTTGTACCATATCATTTTGAAATACAATTTTTTTTGTTTTTGTTCCCTGTACAAATGCTCAGGGCGCCTTTGTAAACCACCCTTTCACTGAACTTTGCACGTCTCCCAGTACCTGCAGATTCAGATGTAGATAATTTAAAAACTAAGCTCAATTCTCGCCGGTTGGTTCTTCTCTCCACCTCTGCGACGCCTCATCTCTAGAAGTTTTGCAGCTCAGGAATGTTCTTGTAAAGGTCCAGTGAATCAGGGTTGGAGAAAGCTCCTCTCTGCGTCACCTCCCGGCCGGCGATCACCTGCTTCACAGCCACCTCCACCTTCTTCCCGCTGATGGTGTACTGCAGAGGGAAGAAGAAAAGAGCTGCCAGTCAAACCAGAGCTGACTTTTACAGCCGTGATCATCTGACAGGTTTGTTCATATCTGATTTGCAGCGTGTTCTTATTTCTCTTACCGGAATGTCTCGGGTCTCCAGCAGCAGCGCAGGGACGTGTCGAGCAGACAAAGCTTTTCTGATGGCTCCCTTAATCCTCGCCACCAACTCCGGACAGAAGGGCTTACCAGGTGCCATCTTCAAGAACAAAATAACTCGCTCTTCTCCATCTGCGCTGTACTGAGGAACGCACAGACTGTCTGACACTTCCTCAAAAGCCTCCACTACAAAGGAGAGTAAAACAAAAAGAGGCGAAGAGCAGATGAGAGGCAAAGAGAGGAGGAGGTGCTCAACAAACTTAACAGTAGGTAATGGGACATCAACATGAAGAGCATCACGTTTCACCCTCTGCTCCGCCTGAACGTTCAAGACTCACCGATGTTGTAGAGCTCTGAGCTGCCAAATCGGACTCCGTTGGGGTTCAGCGTACCATCGCTGCAGAAAAGCACGAGTTCAACATTCAAAACTCTAGAGTCTGTCATTGCAATGTAGCAGCACACAGGAAGTAATTCAGTTTCTGTGAGCTGGTTTTTCATTCTCTCTTTATACATTTTTAAAACATTTATGTTTGAAGGATTTTGTCTCTGTTCGTTCACTTTATTTCCCTTTACCTTAAAAGAACTGAATATTTGTGGGAGTTATAAATCAAAATGATGTTATATAAATAATTAAAAACTTAAAAGTGGGAAAGAATACATACACCAAATCTCTGGTATTTTGAATAGAAGAAATTTAACAAATTAGCATCTAATATTAAATATCTACAATCTGTTTAAATGTATATTTTCACCTGTTCTTTTGCATTGTTCTCTAAATGAATGAATCAATTCAAACTACAGTGATAAAACAATTGAGAGGAAGAGTGAATATCTGACCTCCTGCCCAGCATGATGACGCCTCCGGTCTGTGGGTTGATTTTACAATAGTCTCCATGAGCCCATACACCTACGGAGAAACAGCAATACTGATATTAACACAAATTAAATTCTCTGAAGATTTTGTGATGGAAAAATGCACAGCATAGAATCAAATGATAAAACACAATAAAACAAACACATCTTAGAATGATTCAAATCAGAGGGTAAAGACTTTGTATAATAAAATGCTGAAAATGTTTTTTCTAAATGTTTAAGGTTAATTCAGACTTTATAATAATAATAATTATTATAATCATTCTGATCATAATCATGAGATGATAAATGTTTTATGTTTTATGCATTAGTAGAAAACTAGAAACAAAAAGTAAGGTTTGAGTTTTAACTTTTTTTCTGGTTTCGTTGTGTACATGTGAACTAGAGTGTGGGTAAATGATGGTGTTATTCAGGTTCGGGTTGGGCTTGGACAATTTTCTCTCAGGCTCATTCGGACAGAAATTGCCGCCCAAGATGCGCTCTGGTGCATACTGCATGTGTGTAATCACATATGATGTTTGTGTACTTACCAGCGAACGAAGAAAAGTAAGCTTTGTGGTATTTGCTCCCATTCTCGTCATTCCAGAAGTGTGTTGGCTGACAGGGGATCGGCTTTAAGCAGACAAGCTCCCCACTTTCTCCCCACACAGGCTTACCTGTACACACACACACACACAGACAGAGGAGTGAAACAAAGTTAGAGGTTTCAGATATACTTTGTCATACACACATACACACCTGAATTCAAATCCGACACAAAACACACACTGACACCGATGCAGTATAAAGTACTCTCAGATAAAAACAGGAAAAAAATCACCAGGTAATGTGTCCCACTCTCAGAACCTGATACACTTCAATGTGAGGTTTCACAAAGCCCTCTCCTCCTCCCTCAGGACGGTGTTACAGGCTTTAGAGACCAACTAAAATAATCCCATGCTCTTCCTACAAACTGCCTTTAAATTATCCCTCAGTCCACTCTCCTTTGAGGCGGTGGAGACATGCCAGTGCAGACAGCAGCAGGGATTGAGAGCTGGGGAACAAGGGACTAAAATCAATGAGAAAACATGGAGGGCTTTGAAGACTCCCAGCAAGATGAACAGACACACTCACTCTTTTTTTTGTTTGGACTGAAGTGTAAACCTGTATTTATCCAGGAAAAGTTCACTAATTACTCCCACAATTTTTCAGGCATGGCTTGCTTCAGATTCATGCCAACACATATGGGTACATGCCCATATGGGAGCAACCAAGTAGAACCACAGTCCTGTTCTGGTGGCTACCGAGCAGCTCCTGAAGCAGATGGGAAGTTTGCTCGATGGCACATTAGCGAGTTCTTAAATGTGTCTGTGATTAATTTTCCTCGTTAATTTTTTCATGATCCCTCCTCAACCTGCAAATTTGTAAAAAAAAACAAAATGTGATTCCTGGACCCTGTTGTTGATGACAGATAAGAGCGTTTGGGTTTAAATAGAAAGCAAGTACAATTACCACACTGCAGTTTTATGTCTCCACCAACCAAAGCAGTTTATGTCTGCATACATTTAAATTATAGGATTTATGAAGCCACTGTGGTTTTTGACTTTTGACCAAAGAAATGCTTTCAGTTCATCTTTGAGTCCGAGTGACAACTGGTCAAAATTTAAAGATATTCCCAAAAAGCAGACTTGAGATACACGTGAATTGAGGGGTCACTGTGACATGGCCCTTTGATCACCCAAATCAGTTAATTTGCAAGTTCAAGCAAATATTTGTACCAATTCGAAAGGAATATCTCAAGGTGTTAAAAAGATAAAGTATTCACAAAGCAAAAAAGGGTGAACGTCAAGGACCTTGACCTTTGTGCTTGAAATGCTAATGCAGCCATTCTTGAGTCGGTGTGAATGTTTGCAGCAGATGTGGTGACATCCACTGTGGGTGTTCCTAATATATTATGTTCACAAGAACATGAGGTCACTGTGACCTTGACCTTTGACCTTCAACCACAAAAAACGAAGAAATTCAACTGAACATTTGTAACAAATTTAAAGAAATTCCCTCTTGAGATATAACGTTCACAAGAATTTGGACGAACAACCTTAAAACATTCCGCCTCCAGCCGCTGGCTGTCACTGACGCAGAGGCATAAAACAAAGATTGCAATATTTCTCAGCAATTCACAACAGACACACACTCTCACCATCAAGGCTCCAGGCTTCCACAGGCATGCCGAGGTTTCTTGCTTGGATCTCGCCCCGATACACTGGAACTGTTGGGTTCTGACCCATGAAACATGACACTATGTCAGTGCCACCTGCAAAGACATGGGAGAGAAAAACCGTCATGCACCAAAGGAGAGATTTAGATGGTTCATAGACTGAAATGAAAAAACCTCACTTCAAGTCATTGTGTGCAGTTTTCATTTTAAAGAGGGAAAAAAAATCCTAATGTCGAGAAAGAGTAAGATACTTTTTATGCTGACCGTGAATCACATAAAGACGTAAAGTGAAACGAGCTCCTCGCAGTGACAAACCCTCAGAGAATTACCACCCAACTCTGCTGCTCTACACACTTTTTTAGCTTCAATTAGTTCCTGGTTATTTCTTGCCACTAGGCACTCACATACTTTTCTTAGCAGTTAAAAGAGGACTAAAGAAGGAAACGATTGGCTAGTAGCCTAACAACCAACTAATCAAATAATAAGCTAGACTATCGTATAGCTCCACTAAAGCCCAACAGTTTCCATAAATCCAAATCAAGCTGCACCAAATTTCACACGCTCATAGATATCTGTCACTTTAATATGAAGATAAAAAGATTTTTTTTCAA